TTTTTAATAACTTCAACTTACAATAAACTTTTTTAATAACATGTATGCATGTTATGTAGTACAAAGGATATATCCTATAAATAGATATGATGGGTAGGAAATATGCAATGCAGAAGACAAACCAAAAAAAATACAGTGGGCGGCCTTATCGCAGTCTGCGATGTTTTACAGGCAACCTTTGGATAGATTGTACTGTATAGTGATATGTATGTAGCTTGTGGTGCGCATTTAAAATATACATTTATTAATGAGTGTAACATGGCATAGTTATACATGCATACACACAAATACATACACCGACATACATACACATACCTATATAACACATAGTTCTTACAGGGATAATATCTTATTTATTTTTAGTTGTAAGATATGTGTAAATTGGTGCTTAATTGTATAGGGGGGACGGGAGTTTTCGTTGCGCTAACGTATCGGTTCTGTTGTGCTCTCGAAATTAAAAAATAAATAATAAGTCTTAAATTTATCTTTTTTTTATTTATTTATGGTTAACAAACAATTGTTTACACTGCACCTTACAATGATTTATAAACTTATTAATTACATAAGTACAACAATTAATTAAAGGTTGTACCGTATGCTTAGAATATACCTATATGTCTTCTAATGGTATGTACTATTTACTGAGTGTGTTAGGGCTGGTTATGGTATGGAATTTACTAATGCAATAAATTATAAAAATATATTAGATTTGATGTAGGTACAATGAATTAAATTTGTTCATTCATGTCATGTCTGAATGTCTAAAACGAAATGCGTCTTCAGAGTTTGTACATGCGTCTAGAGAGCACTACTATATGAACTACACTTAGCACTTGCATTAATTAATTATTTTTACCAGTTTTAAGCAATTCTTTCGTTGCCTTTCACTGAGTGAGTGAGGTTACCGGAGCCCAAATCCCCCCTCTCGCTGACTCGAGCGGGAGGGACTCCAAGGGCAGCAACGCACTTGTGACTTTTGAGTTGCAGGTGTCCATAGGCGGCGGTAGTTGCTTACCATCAGGTGACCTGTCTGCTCGTTTGCCTCCTTATATCGTAATTAAAATATTTAAATATCTATTATAGTTGACATCGACACTAATTCAATATGACATTGACATAATCATCATCATCATCAGCCTATCGCAGTCCACTGTTCGACATAGGCCTCTCCCATTGCACGCCACCTAAATCGATCTTCGGCTTCAAATTAAAATTCCTTTAAATTGACATATATTTACCTCAAACTCTAGTGTAGCTCAAAAGATAAAATCTTATGAAGTGAGATTGACACACTTTAAGTTACTCACACTAGAAAAACGAAAGAATATAATGGTCTCGATATAAGCTACTGAGACATAAGGTGGATTGTCCACAACTCTTAGGTCAAATAAAGTTCCAAGCTCCAGCTAGATATCCTCGTTTCCCCACTACTCCCTTGCATCCTCCGCTTTCGCTGAAGTGTTCTCGGTGCGAACTCCACATGCCCACGACTTTGCAAACTACTCAATGGCTGCAGCCCCTGGGCTTCAATTCTTATATTTTAATATTGTATCAATAGACTGTCGATGGAATGTCGTCGGAATAGTTTTGCACTTTTCTTATTCTACTAACTATGTGAGATCAATGGGTCACTGATGCAAGTACTGTCGATGTCTTTGTAATAGTTTGGTAAACCGTACATTTTAAATTTGTAAGATAATGATATATTTAATTTACCAGATATGGCAATGTTGTTGATATCATCATTGATGACCTATATTACTATATTGACAGAATTTATGTAAGTAACCATTTTTTTTTTAACTTGCCATTAGTAACAAGTTAGTAATGGCAGGTAACAATGTAATCAATATAAATATATAATTATTGCACACCAGCAACGACTAAATAATGATATTGCGTGTCTCTTATATTGTACCCCAATAATCTGAGTTTGTATATCCATATTTTACAAAAAAAAACATTTCATTAGATATTCTTTGTGCCCGTTTCATGTATGTATGTTTGTAAAGTCCCCTTTAAAAAAAATGTACTTAAACCTAAGTTAACGACATAAGTTTAGAAATAAGTCTCCTAACATCAAAGCTTATAAAACATAGATTTCGTACAAACATAAGGTTTCCTTTAAAAAAAAAGGTTTTGTCTGTAAACTAGAAAAAAACCAATATATGAAAATTTTGTGAACGTGGGTTTAGAACAAGAATTTAAATACTACCGCAGCCGAAATTTAAGAAACGAATAAAGAAATCATATTTCGCAATAGAACTGCTAGTGTCATCTAGTGCTGAGCAGTTGCCAACTTTTAGTTTTAAACTCTTTAACAGATGTCTCTAATATCGATCACAACACACTAGTTTTGTAAAGAATGTCATAATAAAATTATATGATACACAGAAAAACTACTTTTTTAAAACTTATTTCAATACACACTTAGAAATTTTTCAGTTTCTTTCGATGTTATTGAATGTAATTACGCGTCATTGCTTCAGCCAATCGCATCAGTACGTCAGTAAGCGCCCAACTCGCGGCGCGTGTAGTAATGTGGTTGGGTGTAGCGTTAGCCTGAATTGAAACACAAACGATATATATATACTTATATGGCTTCGATACGATCTACTTAAAAGGCTGTACGTTGAGATTTGGAACATTAACAAAGAGGTAAGTCTTTAAATAAAGTGTTTATTTTAATAGTTTCTTTTTGTTTTTCTTTACATTGTTATTAAATTTATACTACAATTCCATAACTTTATATTATGAGTATTAGTAAAGTTGCATTTAAATGTATGTTTTTGTTTTAAATTTGGACATTTAATTTGAACTACACTCCCAAAGCCATAAAAATATTGCATATTTCTGTTTTAAAAATTCTCTTTATCTTAAGCATGTTTGTTTCGCGCTCTAATTTTCATTCCAAATCAAACAAAAAAAAATTTAATGATGTTATAATACTTTTAATGTCTAATTACAGATTTTTACTCTAAACTGCCATCTAGTAGCTAATAGATGTATAAGTTAAAATTCCACATTTCATTTAGGTTAAGGTGCTGCTCTCTAGTGGTGAATAGAGTTAGACAAATTAAGTGACACATCTACCTTTTTTTTTTTTTTTTCTAAACGGAATGCCGTTTGTTTTCATTCTAATCTGAGTTGGGCGTTTTAATGAGTAATCTCAAATGTTTATCTATTCTTACTCTGTAATTAAAGTTAGAGCTGTATACCAACTTTTTTTTAAAAGCTTTGTATGTATTTCTTTTATATGGTTCCGTACTTTAAAAGGAAAATACTGAACCCTCATAGAATCACTTTGTTTTGTCCGTCTGTCTGTCTGTCAATACTCTTTATTTCGGAAACTCGTTAACGTAAAAAAAGATACGTCTGTTTATGCCGCCAAAAACGCATATTTCGACACTCTCCAGGGAATCAAAATTTAAAGGGTACTTCCCGTTGACCTAGAATTATAAAAGGCAAGTAACTACTATATAGTCTTTATTTAAAGTACGTAATAAATTTCACTAATGAAACATAATAATATCAGCAATTATAGATTTTGGAAACTGATTTTCGGGGAAAAAAAAACTATTTATAGTATGTACCTACAAATTTGTACATAACCCTCGGTGGGCTAGTCGGACTCACACACACACACACACACACACTAGTCCGGATTTTTTATTGTCATAAGTATTTCAATTTGTTTCTAAATTAAAATAAAAACACGGTATACCAAACGAATAAAAAACGAAATTTTCAATTTTATTCTGAGCGGGCGTAAGACGAGAAAATTAAAATAAAATCCGCCCGTTTTGTCTTCAAAATGTTCGTAAGCTTCCGCGTAGAGGAAAAAGAGTTTTGTGCAATGAGAAATAAGGAAATCTTTTAATATTATTTTATATATTTGTTGTTATTTTATTATTGATTATTTTATATATAGGAAATTAACTTTGGTAGTATTAAATAAATAAATTATTAATAGAATTATAATAGAAATAAATAGTCTTTAAATTATTTTTTATATCCAAAGAAGATATAGTTACTAACTTTAGCCTATGTTACTGATGTATGTACCTGATAAAGTAACATTTCATTGGTAAAGGCTTTTTTTTATCAGTTTAGTGGTTTAGGTGTGAAAGCGTAACAAACACACATACTCACTTTGACATTTAAAGTATAAGTATGAAAGTAAGGATAATAAATAACATTTTTTGTCTATTATAATAAAGTTACAATTCTTATTAAAGATTATTTCTACGTATTATATCTACGACTCGACTTTCAATTATTACCTATAGTAGACATACAACTTAAATTGTTTCTTGCTTCGATACATAAAAGCGAGTTTTTTCTTCCCTCAACTTATCTAACTAACTAATGAAGCTAACTAAAAAGAGGGTCGTATTTATGTAGGGTACAAAACAAGAGGTATGATTTTTAATTTCAGTTTTATGTTATAACAAGATAATTATATCTGCTATTGTAAATTTGATACTGAATACTTCAGTAGTTTAGTTTTCCGTTCACGGAAAACTTGAAACAAATTCTGTACCAACCCGTCTGGCCTGCCTTCTAAGGAGAGGCCCATGTCCAGCAGTGGACGTTAACGATTAATGATGATTTTTTAAATTGAAGGATATATTCCTGAAGCGGGAGATGTCTTTAAAAAAAAACAGTGGCACTCCGGAAGTGCCGGCAGAAGTGAATACTTATATACAGAGGTGTCGGTAACGGCAACGGTAACGGTTTTTCCCATTCTAAAAAATTGCCCAACGCACCTAAAGAAGTTTTTATTGCAAAAAAACTAAAACTAAATATATTTATCACGGTCAAATTTAAGTAAAACACGTGCAATTAGTACTAGGTACTAATTTACTTGAGTTGTGTTTTCTCTAGACCTGACATACTCGTATTATGGAAAGCATGTAGCCTGTTTATTTTCGTTACTAATATAAAACCAAAGTCTAACAAATATTCTGTTTGTTTCAGATAAATTCATAAGCTCAATCATGGTAAAATATTTAAGTTACTTTGACTTTGTATCTTTATAGGATCAATTTGACCACTAATGAGGTATTAACTTTCAGTACGGCTTTGTGAATTACGCTCTCGAGTTACTGGTAACCAAAACTTTTAACGAAGAAACATGGGAGACAATCAAGTGAGTCTGTCATTTCATTTTCTTTGCAGTAGCGAGTTAGCTAAGCAGAAAGCAAATTAAACGGCAATTTTTGTGGGCATTAAACTCTATCAAATTAGTTTTATTTCAGTGTGTGCTTGCTTGTTTTATTTGTACGTTATTTAAGTATTTAGGTTATTTGTCCTATTAAGAGCAAAAGATTGTGAGATTGAGCTCTTTTTTTTAATTTCAAGTAGGTATTACTTGATTACTCAAACAAAATTTAAAGAAATCAAGTAAAGCAAAGTCTTAACGTTAACAGGAAAAAGGCTGATGTGGCTATGGAGGGCAGTTTCCTGGTGAGACAGATTTACGAAGATGAGATCACGTACCATCTGATTACTGCTGCTGTCGAGGTTCTGCGTAAGTATAATAAACTGAGAAAGACATAATACAACCCACCATCCGTTGTTACTAAGTGAAAGTATATAAATTGTATCCACAACTAGCTCTACACTGCCAATGCTCCTGTGGCACATTGTCCTTTTTTTGATGAGAAATAACAAACAAAATTGACGCAAAAATAGACAAAAACAACTTTCAAGTGCTTTGTATTTCGTGTCAAAATTTAAGTTCAATTTGCGTACAACTTTTAAAGTTTTAGAAGCATACACGAACCAACGTAACATTTATATACTCGTATTTGTAGAAGATATAGTTCACTTTTGAAATACCTACAAAATGGAGAATTTAGTAAAGTTGCAAAAAAATAAGCATTTACTGTAGGTTTATAAGAGTATTACTATTATTTTCTCCATTTTTTTATTTGTCTGTATACTAGTTTTAAAGATAAATAAATAAGCTTATATTCAAAAAACTTGGTAGCTGAATATAACGAATTCTCACATCACTGCGGAGGACAAGTTGCTCCTAAATATATTGAAGCGGCGGTAGCCTAGTAGTTAAGGCATTGGGCTTGCTATCAAGAGGTCGTAGGTTCAAATCCTGACTAGTCCACTACCGAAACCTTTTTTTTACGTTTACCTTAGCGGGAGGGGTTAACAAGAATACTAGTAATTTCGGTTGCTAGTAGAGCTTTTAAAAAAAAAACTTTCAGTCAGCTGATTTCTCATAAAGTTTTGCGATGATGCCTATAGCTACTTTTATCGTCGTGCAAATTAGTTTATAAGTTCATGCAGTTAACTAGGACATTGGACCCATTGGATGGAGGCTGCAAGTACTTATGTTTACCATCACAATTGCTAACTTATCAGTCGCCTAAAAAAGTTGTCTTTAAGAAGAAAGAAAGGGCAAAAAAATCACGACCAGGACTATTGTACACATGTACACTAGTCCTGGTCGTGGTTTTGTCGGTTTTAGTACATACTAAAACCGTTACAATTAAGAGGCATATAAAAGTCTCGTTATATATATATATATATATATTATATATAAAAGTTCAGTAGGTACTAAGTTTCGTATATAAATGTAAACCGTTTTAGTTTAGTAAGATTTCACAGAACATAAGAGATATCTTTGCAAAGATGATATATCTTTTTGAAGATTCAAAAACAATAAACAAAACTTGATTCTATCATAGATACAATTAATTCTCACGATATCCTAAAAATAAGTCTTAAAATTATGAGGCCTATGCATAGAACTGTACATTACTTATAACTCAATGGTCCTATGTTCAACAGTAGATGTTTTTCAGCTTATATGATGATGTTGAAGTCTTAAAATGTATATTGTCTTTTATGTATGTAATATTACAGAAATACCCGCTGATGCTATACTGGAGTTATTCGGCAAGACATTCTTTGAATTTTGCCAAGATTCAGGATATGATAAAATTTTACAAGTGTTGGGAGCAACACCACGCGATTTCTTGCAGGTATGCATATTCATTTATTAGATTTATTTACGTCCCCTCTCGTCCCCGTACACAAAATAACTTGTGGTAACAAACATATCTGATGGTTTATTATTGCAGTGTTTGTTACTGTTTGTTATTGAGAATAATTTTAACTTCGACATGAGTGCTCTTTTCGCCAACTTATAGCCTCTAATGAGAATGTAAAGTCATGAAATTATTTAATTAAATATTCATAAATTTAAACTTTCCAGAATCTCGACGGCCTTCACGACCACCTCGGTACGTTGTACCCTGGGATGCGATCACCATCGTTCCGATGCACCGAGCGACCAGAAGACGGAGCACTGGTACTTCATTATTACTCAGATAGACCTGGATTGGAACACATCGTCATTGGAATTGTTAAGGTGACGTCTCACTTGTATTCGATTACATATAAATGTGATGGACATAGTTACACATGTATATTGAAAATCCACTAGATATTTAAACTAATCCTATCATAAATACCAATGTAAGATTATTACTCAAACTCAAAATTGTTTTACAACGTTTACATATCTTTTCACACGTTATCTACCAAACCTTTAACACGGAATGCTGCAGTTCACGAAATGTGCACAAAAAAAGACAGACGCTTATCTTTAAGAAATATTTAAAATTACCTATAGTCATCAAAATACGGGGCGTTTAATAAGATTATGCTACCCTCTCAGGGACAAAAGACGTGAGTATATGCACGTATGTATATTCATACATACCTGCATACACTATACCTTAATTGATTTATAAAATCTGAACAACCTCGAAACTTGAGATTTTCCTTACACGTCCCAATTCATCTGTTAAAGCAATATCACCACTAGCTTTCCTTCTTAGCTACTTGTAAGATGCATAATTTTCCCGTCTTATGTCTAAATAGGTTTTTATAGGCCAAATATTACATAAGTGGGCGTTTTAGTAGTCTTCTCTTTTGGGAATACATGTGTAACTAAATATATGTATTCGTAATCAACTCTAATATTTATGATACGCAATACTTCAAAATTGGTTTCATCTGCCACTTAATAGAAGGTACGTGATTCAAACTGCTTCATATAAATTAATGGTATTACCGATATTTAAGCTACCGACATAGTTTTTATAATCTGCTATGAATTCACTCAGGACCATTTAAAGGTCAAGGATGGACCGCGCATGCGTCTTGAAAGGCTGTCAAGTGAAGGCACAAGTGTTTTTGTGTAGAATACGATAATATTTACGTGAGCAAAAACAACCTGGTTTGTGATAATTTTGTATTTTTTTAGCTTAAGTGTTTTTACCTCTTGACTTACTGTGTATCTCACGTCGTTATTTGTTACACTTTTTCAGCAGATAATTTTGTAACATATGTTTTCCACTTTATCGGACTTCTTTTTGAAAAAAAATGTTAACAAACATTGAACAATATTAATACAAATGCTTCACGAAAAATATTTACTTATACGTTAATAAAATGATTTATTTTTAGACGGTAGCAAGTAAACTGCATGATACCGAAGTGAAGGTGGAAATTCTGAAGACCAAAGAAGAATGCGATCACGTTCAGTTTCTTATCACCGAAACTTCAACGACTGGTCGCGTGTGTGTACCCGAGATGGCTGAAATTGAAACTTTGTCACTTGGTAATATATAAATAATTATCTAATTCTTAGCCCAGTGACTAAACCCTCGTTGTTTTCTAGTGATTGTGGGTTCGAATCCTACCCAGTAGGTACATTATCTTCGTGAACCCACTTGAGGAATTAACAAAAATAAAAGCAAAGTATGATTTTTACTCCTTAATCTTTATAAAAATCCTTTAAAAGATTTCCGAGATTTAAAACCGTTCTTACATAGCTACAGTAAGCGTACAATTTAAATGCAAGTGAAGGACTGAGTACCTTACCCGGCGCCCGCTGGCTACCTTCGCTTTGCACGCCCTTAGAATAGTGCTGTCCTTTACACTAGCTCATTTTTGGGCTTAAACACCTTACTGTACTAGTTATCTTTAATTTGCCATCATTAACATTTTTCAGAACCAAAAGTGAGCCCAGCAACATTCTGCAGAGTATTTCCATTCCATCTAATGTTCGATCGTGAACTGAATATTGTTCAAGCTGGACGCACTGTCTCCAGGCTGCTTCCTAGAGTCACTAAGCCCGGATGCAAGATCACCGATGTCTTAGATACGGTAAGTCGTTTTCATTATAGAAAATATCTATAAATGTTGCTAATAGACGGACATTAGCCCCGTGGTTGGCCCGCACTGAACAAATGCGATCACCGTGACGATTGAGTTGACGTAAAAGAAATCCACACTAGTCCCTCAGTTCGTGATTTAATTAAAATAGTTGAGCCACAATTATTGTTGCCGTTATTATCGTTGGAACTGACATAAAAAACTGTTGCTTATAATTGGTAAAAGTGGTAAGTCTAAAATTAGAATTAGGTGTTAATTTGACTTAATTTTTGAGGGAAACATGTGATTTGTGATCAACAAAGTAAGATTCTATTCCATGTTGGGATATATTTAATTTGAACATATATAAAAGATGACTATTTTCATAAATTCAATGATATAATTGCATAATAGTTTTGTAGGGTCAGTATTGCTTTATTTATCTATGTCATATCTAAATGACCAGCTGGATATGCGCGCTTGAAATGAAATAATTCAAAATATTTTAACTTAATATAATTGTTTAAGGTGCGACCCCACTTGGAAATGACATTTGAAAATGTTTTGGCTCATATCAATACGGTGTATGTGCTGAAGACCAAGTCGGAAGAGATGATGGCTATTACTGATGTACAAGAGGACATTGCTTCACTGCGTTTGAAGGTAATTTAATTTAAATTGTCGTATTAATCTTTACTATAATATTATAAAGTTTGTATTTTCGGTTTAATATCAGGAACTACTGGTTCGAATAGAATAGGGTTGTCTTTAAAAAGAGTGTCGACAGCAAAGTTGACTTCGTTTTTACATTGTCGTGGTTACTGTAGAAACTGTAGTGTAGTTAAACTGTAGTTAAACAACAGCAGTAAATAAAAATAAAATAAAAAGCCTTTATTGTTGTTTTTAGTTTAAATTACAAAAATTTATCTATATGTGCCTAACTAACTTATTAACTTTGTCAGTACTCGTAACTATTTACTATCTTAATTAATTTATTATTAATGAATTAACTGTTATAGTATATTGCGTTAGGCAAACGGTATTCACTCTTCAACTTGTCTTCCGACAAAGGCCTCCTCTAAAGATCTCCATTCTGTCCTATTCTTTGCTGTTCGGATCCATGTTGGACCCGCTATTTTCCTGAAGTCATCCTCCCCTCAACAGCAGTAAATACAATTAAATATGTATTCCAAGTTCTTACTAAATGACGCATTGCTCGTGCACGTGTTTGTAAGATTTTCTTGGTGTTTTTAGATGATATGATTCTTCAGGTTATTTCTTAACACTAACTTTTAAACTTTCATTATAATCAATTAGAATATAATTTAAATCAATCGAATTATTTTTATTGAGGGAGGTAAAACATAAAAAAGGTAGTTTGTAGTTGCAACGATATATATGAATCAATGCCACTATATTGTCAGTCTTGACAGTAATTTTTTGCCAATATATCGAAGATCTCTTAAAGAAATGTCTCACTCACTCACCCACTTTTCAAGTAATGAGATTTATTTTAAATCTATTTCAGTCAGAAGCTATCCGCGTATATTCATTTCATTTATATAGACATAGAACCGTACAGTCCGACAGTAGTAAATAAGAACAACAGCAAATACAATCAAAATGTATTCCAAGTTTTTACCAACAGTTGTACATAGAACCGTACAGTCCGACAGTAGTAAATAAGAACAACAGCAAATACAATCAAAATGTATTCCAAGTTTTTACCAACAGTTGTACATAGAACCGTACAGTCCGACAGTAGTAAATAAGAACAACATCAAATACAATCAAAATGTATTCCAAGTTTTTACCAACACTTGTACATAGAACCGTACAGTCCGACAGTAGTAAATAAGAACAACAGCAAATACAATCAAAATGTATTCCAAGTTTTTACCAACAGTTGTACATAGAACCGTACAGTCCGACAGTAGTAAATAAGAACAACAGCAAATACAATCAAAATGTATTCCAAGTTTTTACCAACAGTTGTACATAGATCCGTACAGTTCGACAGTAGTAAATAAGAACAACAGTAAATACAATCACAATGTATTCCAAGTTTTTACCAACAGTTGTACATAGATCCGTACAGTCCGACAGTAATAAATAAGAACAACAGTAAATACAATCACAATGTATTCCAAGTTTTTACCAACAGTTGTACATAGATCCGTACAGTCCGACAGTAGTAAATAAGAACAACAGTAAATACAATCACAATGTATTCCAAGTTTTTACCAACAGTTGTACATAGAACCGTACAGTACGACAGTAGTAAATAAAAACAACAGTAAATACAATCACAATGTATTCCAAGTTTTTACCAACACTTGTACATAGATCCGTAGAGTCCGACAATAGTAAATAAGAATAACAGTAAATACAATCATAATGTATTCCAAGTTTTTACCAACAGTTGTACATAGAATCGTACAGTCCGACAGTAGTAAATAAGAACAACAGTAGGTAAATACAATCACAATGTATTCCAAGTTTTTACCAACAGTTGTATATAGATCCGTACAGTCCGACAGTGGTAAATAAGAACAACAGCAAATACAATCACAATGTATTCCAAGTTTTTACCAACAGTTGCACATAAATCCGTGCAGTCCGACAGTGGTAAATAAGAACAACAGCCAATACAATCACAATGTATTCCAAGTTCTTACCAACAGTTGCACATAGATCCGTACGGTCTGACGGTAGTAAATAAAGAGAACAGTAAATATTATATAATTAATATTATTAATATTATTTACTGCCACGGAAAGCATAATAGTAAAAGATAGTTGGAAGAGTAAGGCTTCCCCTAACTTAAAAGAAAACTTGAGCAGACATTTTCTTACATAATAACTACGTAAAAATCTACAATAAAAAACAAAAATCCTTATACCTAAATTTTAGCTTAACAATAATAGTTTATTTAAAAAGAAGGTAAACTTAATCTAAACTTATTATATCCTAATTTTTACTGATATAATTACATTCTACCTGAAGCCTATTTTAAGGAGAGGTGTTACAAACTTGAGAACTTAGAATATTAAATTATTATTATTGTTGTTTAAAACTTTAATTGTCTGCATTTCTACATACAAGCTATTTTCAAATTTTATGTCTTACTGTATTAATATACGGATTAGACTCATATTCCAGAAATTTCAGACTGCTACTGTACCGTTCGTATTAAACATTACAGGGTCAAATGCTTTACATTCCGGAGACCGACGTAGTTGTTTTCCAGTGCTACCCTAGCGTCACTAATTTGGATGATTTGACAAGGTATAGACTTTAATAATAAAAATATAATAGCTTTAAAACAATAATTTAAATTCTTAAAAAGTATACCGACTTCTATGCAATATAAGTCATATAAAATAAGCTGTATTTTATGTATACCTTAATTTTACAGTCTTAGAGTTAGAACATTTTTTCTAACCAAAATGGGAACAACCTTTAATAAAATCAATTTATATTATAGTGCTCCAAGTGCTTTCTAGGGTAATGAACCCACAACAGTTGATCATGTTTGTATATTTTACATGCGCAAACATAGATATGAATAACAGTTCTACCATAAAATCCTGTAACCTAAAACTCTCCTTTGATTTTATTAGCTTATGAATTTGTTTCTATTCTGTCTGTTTAAATATTTAAAAAAAAAATTAGTCAATGATATTTTCTCCTATTAATTACAGTATTTATATTACACTAAATTAACGAGTAAAAAAGTTACCATTATACTCCTGAATTCATCATCTATCGTGCTCAAGCTGTAAAAGTTACTCGACAGGACGAATAGTTAAATATGTCCTGGGTCTGCGACTGAAGGGGGACGGTCGCACTGGATGACGAGACCCGTCTTTTGTGAGACGTATCAATGATTGTTGGGCTGGAAGAAGAATGAAACTGCGACTCTCGTTCCCCGACCCTTTGCAAGCAGAAGAACACCGGGTGGTATTTAGTCGATTAGAGTCCGACAGACCCCTTCGCCCCCCAATAGGCGAAAGACATCTATCATCCATCCCCATTAACACAAAAAAGGTCCTCAGTACCTTCTATTTAACTTCTTAAACCTAGAAAGCAGCAACTCTACAACTACCTGCTTTACAATTTTATAGATTTATTTAAATAGTTATGTAAAATGTTATGTGTACACCTAAAAATTGATTAAGCCAATTTAATTGTCAGGCGCGGTCTCTGCATCTCTGACATTCCACTCCACGATGCAACCCGTGACCTGGTTCTTATGTCAGAACAGTTTGAAGCTGACTACAAACTGACACAGAATCTGGAGGTTCTAACCGACAAACTTCAACAAACTTTCAGGGAACTTGATTCAGAGAAACAGAAGACTGACAGGTAATACACAGAAATATTTACACAGGTCTAAGTGTTTTTTCCCAAGAATATGTCTTAATCTTTAGTATTTAAAGCAACAAAATGTAGTATTCCAACAATGTTTTGTTGTTGTGCAATTCTTGTGAAACTGTTCTATTCACATGCTGTAACTTCGTTGATTTATTTCATTATTCTATGCGTTTTGACCTTCAGTTTAAATGATTCAAATTTCTCTCGATTTGTGTTTAACAGCTTTCTTTTCAATAAGGTTCTAATCTAATCTCGGTTAAAGAATAACCGTCAATATATAAAGCTTTTTTTAAATGTAAGTATTATGCACCCGTAATATATTACGTGTTGTAACTTAAGAGTATAACAACAAAATAATATAAATAATTAGAAAACAAATATTGTACCACTTATTTAGAAATTCTCGTATCACAGATTATAATTAATGACCACATAAAATAGTAGCTGAAAAACAGGCTTTATTTTCAGATTCATTTTTGGTGGTCATTACTTCCGTTTTGAATTTTGCAGTAAATATTTTTGTTTTTGACCTAAATTAACAGTTATTTTTTATTTCGTTTCAATATATTTATGATTTCTCTTGATATCTTTTAGGCTCCTCTACTCGGTCCTTCCGATCAGTGTTGCTACGGAACTTCGTCATTGCCGTCCAGTGCCAGCTCGACGCTATGATACGGTCACCCTACTGTTCAGCGGTATCGTGGGCTTTGCCAACTATTGTGCTAGGAATACCGACCACAAGGGAGCAATGAAAATTGTCAGGATGCTCAATGACTTGTACACGGCGTTTGATGTGCTTACTGACCCGAAAAGGAATGCTAACGTTTACAAGGTAAATCTGTTTGACAAAAAGTTACAAAATTATGTTCTTTTTCCTTTCTTATCATACCTTAAAATAAAAATAAAACATTAGACATCTGCACAATCAAAGATCTTCTAAGAATTCTGAGATAACTTATATGTATTGTTTCTAATATAAATAGCGTCCACTGAAAAGGAGAGAGAAGTCTGTTGTTCAGCTCCAAATATGAAAGAAATAAAAATGCCTTTCAAAATTTCATCTTATTGTTAACCACTAGATTATGGACATACGTATACATAGCAAAATCCATCCCGTCTGTAATGTCTGAACCCTACAACAGACCGCAAAAAGTAGTGTATCTTCGATAAGTCCTACTTGAAGTCCTTAATTTGGCACTAGGAATGAGGTATATCTCTCCCAATGGTCGATAGAATAAAGTTACCGCTTACCATCGTGCATTTGTTTGTATGTATAATACCTTTCTAGTAAATACTTACCTTTCCGATGATATATTGTTAAAATGATCTGTCGTTTATTGTTACTACATTTCGTATTCAAGTTAAAAACTATTTGAATATGATAGTCAAATCCATTAGAGTCAAAGATTATTTCGGTAAACACACTGTGAAATTTAGTATACTCTAAACATCACACATCACATCACATCAACAGCCTTTAATAGTCCACTGCTGGACATAGGCCTCTCCTTAAAAAGAAGGTTTTGGCCTACTACACCACGCTGGCCAGGCGGGTTGGTATAGGGTTTGTGTCAAGTTTTCCGTCTTTTTGCAGTGCTGGTGTCCTGCGTTGTTTTGCTCCCTTAGTCGCCTCTTACGACACCCACGGGATGAATTGGGGTAGTGACATTCCGTATTCTTAATCCGTCACTACACGGACACATAAAACAACAACAAACAAAACAACATAAAATATTAACTATTTTCAGGTTGAAACAGTGGGTGACAAATACATGGCTGTATCAGGATTACCAGAGTATGAAGTCGGTCATGCCAAACATATTTCGCTGCTTGCTCTCGATATGATGGATCTTTCACAGACAGTAACTGTGGACGGGGAACCCGTTGTAAGTATGCTTTTAAATAAAAAGATAAAGAACTTAAACATTTAACGTTTTTGTACGAACTCCAAAAAACAAAGTTTGCCTTTTAACCCTAATAATATTATAAATCCAAAAGTTACTCTCTCTGTCTGAACCGATTTTAATGTAATTTGCCATGGAGATACTTTGATTCTTGAGGAAAAATCTAGTATGATATATTTCTTATTGCATGTAAACTATTGCATTAGTTAAAATTATTATGGGTTATACTCTTTCAACAGTCGTTACAGCATATATTTTAATAACATATTTTAGGCTGTTGAAGACGGGCATCTCCTGGATATTTCTTTATTTTTATAATTTGGTATTTATTTAACATTGTAACAAAAACTGTATGCTTCAGGGTATCACAATCGGCATTCACACCGGTGAAGTGGTGACCGGGGTCATAGGTCACCGTATGCCACGCTACTGCCTCTTTGGAAATACGGTTAACCTGACTAGCCGCTGCGAGACCACTGGTGTACCTGGCACGATTAACGTCAGCGAAGATACTTATGGGTATGTACACGGTGATTCTGGGGAATGGAAAGTTAAAGCATTGGGTTTAAGCACTAACTATATCTAAAAATAATAAAAAAAGTAGAAAGAAACAATATTTAATCCTCACACAGATCCAAATATCGTTTTAGTGTTTTAGGAATAGGTAGTTTTTGTATACCTAATGGTAATTCAAAGTTTTTCCAGAGCATCTGCCTTACCATGCATCTACTTAAATGTTTTAATTCCACTGGTTTCAAGCCACATCTCGACGCTGGTATCAAATGGCTTTTTAAAATATCGCCATATTTTTCTAACATCAATCGCCTTTGGTAATTGTAATCTATTGGCAGTCCTAAATGCTTCAATTCCCCTTTATTCACCGTCAAAGTTATGCTTGGAACTGCTCTCATAGTTAATTTTAGGCAAGTGACCAGTTCATAAGGATAGACTCCATTGTATTCTTTTAAACGATCAAGAATAGATTCGATGGGGTTTGTAGAAACCTTATCAGAAGTTATTCTTGCTCCAAATCTTAATAATATCATGAGCATTTCTGCTGCTCCCATTTGTATGACAACTCTTACTGGTGAAGCTCGACCACAGCTTTCCAGCGGTACATCTATAAAACGGTGACACCTGTCGTCTTCCTTATATTCAAGATTTGCGTTAGTAGCGTGATCGAGAAAGAAAACTAGAGCGTGAACGTTTTCTTCTTTGTTCTTAAAGTCCGATTTCCAGCCGGCTAAGAAGTATGGAGCTGAAGTACCGAATATTGCTCCTGAAGCGTAAAGTAAAGAAAACAAGTTACTAAAGTAATTAGTGTCAGAAGATTATAATAGGTACGACAAAAATATGTCAAAGAATTATGTTTATTGTGTATTATGTAAAAATATAATAATGCAATACGGTTTTGGTATTTCAGAATTTTTCTAAAATTACCTTGAAATAAGTTACAATAACTTTCTCAGAAGATAAAAATATCCTCACCCAAATATATCCTTTCAAATGTTCCTTCGCAAGAATACATCTCATCTAACAATGCTGCTACAACCCCATTATCTTGCAAACTCCAATCGAAGGCCAGTTTCATTGCAATATATAGCAAGTTATGGTACTTGCCCATGAGACAAACATCGCCATTACGAGACTTGCAATTATTATGGTATCTCAACGCCGATACCACAAAATTTTTGCACGATGTATTGTCTGAGTGATTTTGACCTGAAACGAATGATATCATCATTATCATCAATAGCAAATACAATGATTTCTTTTAGTTGATTTTCTGCTCTCTGTGGTTCGAAAATGTGATACGACTTATTCAATGAGTTTAGAATAGAGAAGCAAACAAAGTATTTAAATGAACGTGATTTAAATAACTTTGTAAGAAGAATATTTCCTTACTTTGACTTAGAGAATACTTACAGATTGAAAACAACGTTCACTTACAGAGACACAAATATAACTAATCGTAAAAATAATAATAAACCTCTTGCACATCCAGCAATCACAGTATTGAAGTATTCAACAAGGTCTCTTCTTTTCGTCCTCTCGTTCAAACAGTCGCGATCCATATTAGCGAACACCTCCTCGAAGTAACATTCCATGAACGTATCCATATTGTACACAATAATTTTAATAATAAAAATAATTTTGAAGAAATATTTTTAAAACTATTTGTGTACTAGCACTATTATTGACTTTTGATTGATCTATTTTATTTGGCAAAACCTTTTTTTAATATTTTGCAATAGCAAAAAGTTTACATTCAATATTATTTATTTCACTTGGTGTATTTTTTAGTGTTTTAATCGGTGAACTACCTTCCACGGCTGTTGTCTTACCAATAGAAATAAAAAATCAGTTTTAACCCCAGTTTTGTATGGAAAACTTTCAAGTGCACTGTAATCTACTTTACCTTATACCGGGAAGCCTTACTAGGTTTCCTATTTTAAATGTTGATATCGATATCACATGTTAGGAAGTGTACTTTATTTCTCATTTTTGACGATAATACATTATCGTTCGGTTAAGATCTTTTTCATTTTTGTTCTCCTATGCATTTATAAAGTACAATAATACAATTATTATTCTCTTTATTTACTTTATATACATATTATTTACATTTTTAAATATACACTTTATAAAAAAAAAATACATTTAAAAATATAAAAAATAGTAGACCACCGACATCGGGTACAGGGACCAAGACACCGGTGGTTAGGACTCCAAAGATAGGAACCTCCTCACTATACGAGCCGTGTCAAGGAGGACTGCCTTCTGCATCAGACCCTTGATCCAGCCATCCAACGTGAGCCTCTTAAGGTGTTGGTCGAGGCTCTTGGCTATCAATCCATGAGCAGATACGACTATCGGAACAATGATCACTGAATCAACATTCCACATATCGACAATCTCGTGAGATAAATCCAAATATTTAATTTGTTTTTCTTTTTCAACTTTCACGAGATTCTCGTCATGAGGAACGGCGATATCAACAATCATTGCGCGGCGCTCTAATCGATCTATCAACACAATATCAGGCTTATTGGCAACAATAGTCCTGTCTGTGATAATAGATCGATCCCAATACAACGTGGCCCGACCATTCTCGAGAACTGGGTCGGGCACATACCTATAGTATGGCACCTCTAGATTCACAAGATGGTATTTAAGGGCAAGCTGTTGGTGTACGATCCTGGCTACTTGGTTGTGCCTGTGCAAATATTCTCCGTTAGCAAGACGAGAACAACCAGAAATAATATGCCTGATTGATTCGCCAGGACGGTGGCATGCCCGACAGATGTCAACCGTACCATCTTTCAGGATATATTTCCGATAGTTATTCGTCATGATAACTTCGTCCATAATCGCACAAACAAAACCTTCAGTTTCTCCAAAGAGATCACCATGCCGTAGCCAAGTCGTAGATGCTTTTAAATCTATATCGGACCCGTTTAGGGCCCGATAAAACCGACCATGGAGCTCTTTGCCCTTCCATACTTCCCTGCGATCATTAACACCAAGTACTACAGGTCTGCGCCAATTCTCTTTAGCCAGAGCGAGCGGGGTGAAGCCGGTATCCACTGCAACTACATTGCGATGCACTCCCACGTCGGTATGTAGAAAATATTCTCTGAGATTGCATACCTCGCGATTATGTAGGGTCTTGATATTTAATAGACCGCGACCCCCAAGCTTTCGCGGGATATACAATCTCATAACTGATGAACGTGGGTGGTGCATTCGGGATGCAGTCAGCAGTGTGCGGACTTTCCTGTCAAGGGCATCTAATTCGGTCTGAGTCCATTTAAGTATACCAAAGGAATACATTAGAACCGGCATGACCCAACCATTGCAGGCTCGCACCTTGTTGCCCCCTGATAAAAGACTTTTAAGTACTTTTTTCAAGCGGCCAAAAAAGCGTTCCTGCAATGTTTGTTTCATGTTAGATTCTGGTATTCCCAACGACTGTGATATACCCAGATACTTGTAAGTTTCAGTGGCAGACAGAGATCTGAGTTTTGTTGAATCCAAAAGCTCTATTCCTTCAGATTCAACTATCACACCCTTCTTTACATACATGACTGCACACTTGTCTACACCAAATTCCATTTTGATAGAATTACTAAAGTTTTCCGTCACCTTTAGTAACTTTGTCAATTGTAATTTGTTGGAGGCTAACAGTTTCAAATCATCCATATAAAGAAGGTGAGATATAACTTGATCATCTTTCTGCAACCTATATCCTAACCCTGAACCCTCTAATAAAGTGCTAAGAGGGTTCAAAGCCAGACAAAACCACAAGGGACTCAGACTATCACCTTGAAATATACCCCGCTCGATCTTTATTAGTACATCGTGTATCGCTGTCTGCCGACATCCTGGATAGCGAAGTGCCGTTCTCCATTGCCCCATACATGACTTCAAGAAAGTGCACAGAGTTGTATCAATTTTATACAACTCCAGCACCTTCAAAAGCCATGTGTGTGGAACCGAGTCATAAGCCTTCTTATAATCTATCCAACACGTCGCCAAACTCTTACGATTACAACGTACCTGTTGGCTAATGGTCATGTCTATGATAAGGAGGTCTTTAGTGCCACGGGTCCCACTTCTACATCCATTCTGAGAAACTGACATAATCGAATTATTATTAATATGTAAAGTAATTTTGAGTCTCAGAATAGATGTTAGAAGTTTATACATGGTAGGTAAACATGTAATAGGTCGAAAATTTTTGGGATCCATGACACTACCAGACTTATAGAGTAAGTGGGTTATGCCAGTGGTTAAAAATTGGGGTAATGAACCCGAATCCAAAGCTGCCTGGAATTGAGATGCCAAACGCGCATGTGAGCTTCGGAACCACTTAAGCCAAAAGTTGTGCAGTCCGTCTGGACCAGGTGATTTCCAATTCGGTAATGAACGAACTGCACAACTTACATCATCTTTATCAATTTTAACAGGTTCCATAGGTGTTATAGACTCACATGAGCGTCTGACATCCTGCAACCAATCACCTTCTATATGAGTGACAGGCACCGACCAGATGTTACGCCAAAATGTATTTGTGACATTTTCATCTGGCAAATGCCTATCACCCACACATGGATCCGGTTCCTCCCATTTCCGGTACACCCACTTCTCATTTCTTTGGAACATCCGATTCTGATTATACCGATCTATTCGTTTTTTATACCGTCTTATCCTATTTGCCCATGCATAAATTTTCTGCTTTAGAAAGTCTATGCGCTCTGTGACACATGACATGTACTGCTGAGGACTAATGGTAGTCCCCAAGAATGCCTGTTTCACAAAGCGCATCACTCTCGGCCGCATATTCCCTGATCGGTAGCTAATAAGCTTACCGATGAGTGTCCTGGTCTCAGTAATACGACGTTCAATTCTATACTGCCAAGCTGGTACAGTAGATTTAGGTCGAGTAGTAGTGACATTGTTAGCTATTTTAACACCAGCTACTCGACAAGCTGCAATAGCCGCACAATATAGAATAGAATGTGTATCACTAAGATCTTCGCTATTATCTAAATATTCAGGCAATAACGAATCCAGGGCACCCACCAGCGCTAAATTTCGTTTATGAATGGGCAAACGGAATAACCGGGGCCTATCATTGCAATTTAAATATCGGTATTCCAGAATCGCATCCTCCAAAGCACTCCTTATCCTATCATTGTATTGGGTACTTACGGATATAACTTCACTCTCCACTAGTTCATCAATATCATCAGTATATGATGCCAACTGAGGTGTGCTGTTGGCTACCGAATCCACAGTGTGTGACGAAGAAGGGATAATTAAGCTATTCCGTATGTCAGAGCGTATCCTCTCAAGTACTGCATCATCCAGCAGATGACAGCGCTGTATAGCTCGTACTTGATCCGACAATCGTTGTGCTGATACGTTGACAGCTGGTTCAAGCTCCTGAAACAAAGAGACTAGTCGAACACGGTACGCAGTAAGGTTCGTTCCCACCTCTGTAGCCCGATAATATGCCCGCATGACATTTTCATTAATAGACTTTGTCCACTTCATGCGGCGCACATCACCACCGGTAGCGGGGACCCTGTTCGAGGTCAGTAGTCCTCGGGATCCCAAGCTGGTCGGTGGCCGGCCTCTCCCCTGCCGACGTACAGGTGTTGGCGACGTCGGCGGAGAGAAAAACTCGTCGCTTGAAGTTGAGCTCGACGCCTCAGCCACGGCCGGAACTTCTGTTGTAGCTTCCGGGGACGGCAAGACGGAGCGGAGCGACGAGTCCGGGGATGTTGTCAGTGCTCTGGATCTAGCTCGGGTTAACATTTTCTAGTCGAATTTCTAATTTCTTTCATTTTCAATATTTTTTGTATTTTGACATGACGTTAAACGTCATGTCTTACTATCAACATATATCTATATATATTATTTATTTAAAACGGTTTTGTGTTATATTTTCATAAAAAGGATCCATTTCAATACAGTTTAATAGCTTTTAATGATTGTACGGGATTGTAAATGTATAAAAAACTTGTTTTAATTCGAAAATGTGAAGAAATTCCGACTGATGTAGGTAAGTGTTGCTAGTGTATTTAGATCAATTATTATTATTATTACACTATTGCATTGGGCAAAACCTGTAATAATAGTTGTTTTTAAAGGAAATAAATAAATAAATAAATAAGTAAATAAGTAAATTATCTTTCAAGCAATTTTATTATGGTAAAGTGTTCTGTATAACCCACTATGAATTTGGGATAAATCATCTGATCCTTTTTGCAGTGTCCCTAATACTTAATTTCTGTAATCGTTAATACCTCGTCTTGAAATTATTATATTAAACTTATTTATCTTATAAACAAACGAGCAATTTAGAATGAAGTCGCTAACAAGATTAGCCGGATAAATCTTTATCAACTGATACTGGGGCATGACCGGATACCCTTTAAAAAAAATTAAATCGTCAATTGTTGTTGCCAACTGATTCAAATCACCCAATAAGATCCGTAAATGTATTTTTTTGCTGTAATTTATTAAAGGACGAGATACCATAAAAACCAAATTAATATTAATTTGAGGTCCTTACATTTTACTGGTGTAACCAATGCAAATCAGACCAACGGTACAAATTAAACAAGTCATTTAAACTGGCTACTTTATTGCACTATATAATCAATTGCGATTGTATAAGCAAGAACCAATAAGAATGAACAATTAAAACAAGGATACTAGATTATCGAGAATATAAATTTTTGTTCTCAGATACCTGATGCGTGAAGATAATTATGACGAACGCTTCGAACTAACGTACCGTGGACACGTTTCTATGAAAGGAAAAGCTGAACCCATGCAGACATGGTTTTTAACCCGAAAGAAGATCTAAATCTAAGTGGAGATCTGCAATTCATATTGTTAAGTGATCTTCCATTTTATTTACATAAATATTTTGTCGTATCTCTATCTATCTAATTCAAAATAAAAATAATATGTGTAGTCAAGAGTGTCTAGTTTATAAATATTACTTTCTTGTCTGTAATAGCTATTGTATTCTTGATCTGGACTATATAATTGTTACAAATATATAAGTTGGCTTCTGATAAATTTATATTTAGTTAATAATTACAGTTACAGTAGTAACGCTTTAATACACTGACCTTTATAGATTTATCCTGTGGTATTTTCTGTGTGGTGACGGATTTAGAACACGGAGTGTCACCACCCTTATTTACCCCGTGGGTCGTAAGAGTCGACTAAGGGAGTAAACGCAGGATAACGGGACTACAAATAGAAGGAAAACTTGAAACAAACCCTATATCAACCCGGCCGGCCAGCGTGGCATAGTAGGCCAAAAACTTATCTCTAAGAAGAGGCCTATGTCCAGCAGTGGATTACTAAAAGCTGTTGATAATGATGATGATGATGAATAGATTTAAAATTATTGAAAGTCTTTCGTGCTTGTATTATGATAACCTATATATCAATATTGCTCACTTTGTTATTCCAATTTCTAGCACTATATTTTCTTACAGTAATTCAACCACTAAATTGTACTTATTATTCAAATATTTACGGGTCATAAAATTTGTTTGGTACCAAATACTTACGTTTGTCTCTTATCCTTACAATTTTTTTTTATTATTCAGTAATGAACGTTAAGACGTCTTGTATTTTTTTATCCAACAGTATTATTATATTGCTTTAAAAGTTGTTGTTGTTTAGGTCTGTTAAGTATGTTGTATTATTTTGTTACACGCACCTACGTATATATCTAATAATATCTATTTATATAAAAAATTTACGTTGGTTTTCGTACGCTTTAAAAACTCAGAGTTCTGCAGCGAGTGGACAAATTTTGACAAGAAATGTAACCCGCTTCGAAGATCATTTTTGTTCTCCACAGCTAAGCCTGGCAGGGTATAGCTAGTATTTCATAAAGTTGTGTATATATTTTTTATTGATTCCAAAGCCATTACGAAGAGTATATTTAAAAAGTCTATTCCTCCAGTTATAAAAACGTGTTCGTTATCAATTGCTTACATTCCACGTGATACCTACTTTTAATGTTCTCTTTGTTCATTTAATTTAATCTTTATCAATACACTACGTAAATAGTCAATAGTTTTATTAATAAATATAATAGATGTTATTATATCTAGTCAACGTACGTTACTTGATGTTTTAATAAAATTAATTAAATCTATAATTTATTATAGAATGCTGAATGCTGATGGTGTTGTAACAATATTATTTTTATCTATTGTGAAAAATATCCATGTCGAATGTATTAGAAACAATAAAAAGGTTACAACTAATAAATATTTTTATTCTTATCAACTAGCTCTAAAGGGACTTGTTGACGGAGTCATCAGAATAACGTCATGTCGGTATTATATATATATTATTAATATAGCATGTATAAGCAATATGTATGTATATGTCTCGTTTTTTTTTAGTGATTTTCTTGTAACATACGATAATATTTTGTCTTATTTTTTTTTACTTTCTAATATACACCTGACACACACAACTCTGCAACACCCATAGGTTTGAATGGAAGAAAGAGTTTATGCAGGAGTTTTTAGCATGATTACTTATAAACAAAATAAATAAGTAATTTTAAAAAAACCTCTTAATATACTAGCGATATTTCCCCGTGTTGGGCAGTGGTGATAATAATAGAAAACTAAAACCGCGAAACATCAATCTATCATATTATTAATTATCATCCATATATGTAAATTTTAGCACCACCATTTCTACCAAAAAGTGGTGTTGTGAACTGGTTTCTTTCAGGTGGCATAAAATTTTATACGAACAAATTGACACGATTATAACTGTAAGTTGTTATTTTCTTTAGCATATCTGCAACCTCCAATAAAGTACATGCTGTAATATTAAACTTTCGGGGGAAGATTATCAGGAACTCATAGTTGATTTATTGACACTGATTACTACTAGTCATTTTCTAGCCGCGTTAGTCATGCGTTCTGCAAAGAGAAGGAAAACTTGAAACAAACCCTATACGAACTCGTCTGGCCAGCGTGGTATAGCAGGCCAAAACCTCGTTTCTAAGGCTCTCTTTTACTAGTCCACTGGCCCCTATGTCTAGCAGTGGACTAGTAAAGGCTACGGATAATAATGATGAGCCATCCTTCGGCACATATGGGACGGCTCGACCGAAATAATACAACATCATCATCAACAGCCTTTACAAGTCCACTGCTGGACATGGGCCTCTCCTTAGAAAGGCGGGTTTAGCCTACTATACCACGATGGCCAGACGGGACGAGAAAGAGAAAGAAAGTTCCTTTTCTTTGCAGTGCTGTTGTCTTGCTTAGTTTGTTCCCGTAGTCGTCTGTGACGACACCCACGGGATGAATAGGGGTGACATTCCGTAAATAATATAACGGTCTCACAGAAAAAGAAAAAGAAAAAGTTAATCCATTTTTCCATTGCTTGTCACCGAATGTGACCGGAGCTTTGGTTGGTTAACAGAGCTCCAACCCCTTCTCACCCCTTTTTCCTCCTGATTCTGTAAAGGAAGGACTCGAAGGGTGGTACGCACTTGTGACTATTGAGTTGCAAGTAACCAGACGGTTCCCCTAATGGTAAGCGACTACCATTTGACCTTCGATACAAAAAAATAATAATATGGTCAATTGTTTTATTTACCCACCACAATTGCCCGGCAAACACCATTTTGGATTACAGGTAACCTTCTCCAACTATTTTCTTTACTCACGTTCTTTTCTACCTGTTTCTTTTTTCTATTTTTTTTAATATGTATTTACAGAAAAAAGGAGTATATCAGTAAATATTGTTATTATATTAATGTATAATTCTGTCTACAATAGAGGATAGCACAAATTATCCTTGGCGTATGAGTGATCTGGACAAATTTAGTCCTACCATTAAGAGAAGACATAAAATGAAAGCTAAAAAGTGTAAAAGTGCCGTAAGTTAAATTTGAAATATTCCAAAACACAAGCGATAACAGTTAAGATAACGGTGTTATAGATCGTGTTACGTATTTTTCAGCACGCAACAATTATTCTAATATTGAGTTCGGTGACCCGGCAATGATTGCTATGATACATGGTGAATAATTTCTTTGGGAGGTTTTCCGTATAGGGTGATAATAGGTATAATAAAGATATTAATTGTTTTGTTAATAGTAGAACCGCTAATGTTTAAGAGGTTTAGAGGTCAACAGATATCAATTAAAAAATAACCGAATTCGGATTAATTGCTAATGGCTTAAAAATTTATCCTGATGGTGCTATGAAATTAAAAAGCTAACCAATATTTAGTTCACAAGAAAATAACAAAGTTTGCTACACAGATTAAAGCGATGTACAATTCTACAAACTACAATAACGAAAACTAAATATATAGAGCTTAATCATCCCTCTTAAGTTCAAGTCAGGTAATGAAAAAAAATGAATTATCAGGTATTTTTTCCTTTCAATAGCTATGATTTCCATGATACATTTTTAAATTACAGTTGAAGAAATTACAATTATGTTTATATATCAAACACTTAAAATTGCTAACATAGTCCTGCCAACACTTCTTATAATTCTTTTTCTGGGGCTGTTACTTTCGTTCAACTTTGGCCTGTAAATCTGAACTTATTTACCATCAATACACTAGACAGCCGTTTTAGGAAACGACATCTTAACGTTACCTACACAGCCACCCACCACGGGCAAAGTATGCCCAACAATAAACGTAAGGTCAATAAACGTAACGTAACGTAAAATTAATACACAACAATTAAGGAATGATAATAAAATTGACGCCAGAGACAGACACAAACAACTATATTACAAGTCTAATCAGATTTAAAAAAGCTCATTAACTTTTCTTACATAAAAATATTTCAGACAAATTTGGATCTTTGGGAAACATGGTTTGAATAATTTTTCAATAATGTTCAATTCAAGCATTATAATTATTAACACACTTGACAAGTTACTAGTCATACTTGACAAGTCTTCGCGTCATACGAGTATAATGGTTCCCACTTCTAGGACTGTTTTCCTTTTACTTAGCAAGTCTTATACATCTGAAGTTTAATAAAAAAAAAATATCCGAAGCCAAGCAACTACATAATATGTTCGGCAAAATATATTAGCGAATACCTAAAAATAATACGACTCACTCGGAATGCCGTTCTGCGACCTCCACCATCCGTTCGCGTTCGTTCGAACTTGACGATGGTTATAAACGAAACAAGTTTTCGTGATCTGTTCTTACTTTTAGGGGACGTTTAAAGTTCATTTTTATTATGTATTATTGGATTCATAAATGAAGTATGTCAATTACATATTTCAAGTATACCCGGTTGTTGAAATTCAACTATAGCAGAGCAGTAAAAAACACAAAGGAGACAATGGTACAAATTATTTAAGCTATGCCTGTTTAAAGTTACCTTGTATTAAAATGTGCTGTAAGTACTTATCTATCATATCTTCTACTTACACAAAAACAAATATCAAATTAATCTGGTGGGAGGACAACGTATCTATTGATCTATACGTGTATATCTATTGATATATATGGAGATACGTCGACCATTCTAATTACGTGATTCGGTTGACAGTAGCAAGTTCTAAAGCGTACCGTTAATGCTTTACTAGTGAATCTCTAATTAGTGAGTCTATATCGTGTCATGTTTAAAATGTCTGATATTTTGTGGTGTTAAGTTTAATTCATTTCTTGTTTATTACGAGTATTTATAATTATATATTTAGTACAGTGTCTAGCAATCCATTCGAAGTCATGGATAAGAGTCTTTAACGGTGTAATCAATTTACGATTTATGCTTGATTCCTTTTATATGCTGGTCTTTTCTAGGTTGGTAGATGTTTATTCTGATTTTCTTCATTTTCTTGTATACCAGACACAGAATTTCCCATATTGTCCATAGATAGAACAGGAGTTGTTGTTATGTTATCCTTCCGAAATGTTTGTTTTTGCGGTAAATAAATTCCAAAAGAGTCCTACAAAGTTAAATATATTGTAGAGTATATAAGCACTGCTTTAAATTTATACAAAAATCTTTTACCTTTGGGTATCTATTGTAGTTATATTGTGGATGACATTGGCAAGGCCGCGGTGGAGACTTTTGCCGGCTACTTCTCGGAATATCAGCTTTTGCCTTTGGCGGCATGACGACAATCTGTCCAACATAAATATGTAAGTAGATAATATTTTTATTATAATATTTTTAGGTATACATCCGACATAAATCTGTAAAATTGATTAGTGAAAACCTTTTTAAATAAACTGTTTACAGACCGATACACAATTATTAAAAAAATCTTAGAATTTTAAGATAAACATTTTATATTATCGTTACGATAAGAACCTACAATACGGTTAATGCACATGAACTAAGATCAAAAGAATAACAATAATAAATAAAATGCAGTAAATAAAGGCAAATACAGGTAAAATCCATCTTCCAAAGCGAAGAGTGACATTTATACAACATACTATACAATGATTTTTAAATCTTAAAGACTATCTAGTATTTTTATTTAATATTTCATACATTTTTCCATTTATACTATATGTATAATTACAACATATTTATACCATAATATACTTTGACATATTTGTTTTGTGACGTAAATATTTCAAAGTCACATTGACATTTGATTTATGAGAATCATTTTATGAAATTTCTGAACCTTCTTGTCCACTTTCTGCTAAAAAATATACGTACATACATATAGGTATTTCGTTAGATTAAAAAAAAAGTGTGTATTGGTTATGCTACGCTTTACGATATTTACTTTTTAAATAACATAGATATATTTTAATACTAATAATAATTTATATTATAAACTAATAATATAGGACATAAGGAGAGGCCTATGTCCAGCAGGGTTCATGTCGCCAGACCTACCTTAGATAACAACCGCTCCATTGACAAGGCGATGTATTTAAACAAATAGGTCGGCTAGACAAAACTACATTAAACAAAAATAGAAAAATGGGTATTTTAATTAAGGAGAAATGCAGGATGCAGATAACTCCAATTTTACTGTAATTGCTTTACATGCCAATATTTACTTACAAAAAATTAAATATTCTTATAAACCAGCTCGTTTAGATGGGATGACTTTAACAGCAAAATTAAATTGATTCCAAAGCAAAATTCAATTACAAAAGGTTTGCCGCGTCGTATGATAACAGTGTGCAAGTACATATCTTTTATAATAATAATAAACGAATGACGAAAAATGGTTACAAAAGTAACATTCACTCATTTTTTGATTTATCACTAACATGTACTGAAATCTATGTTTGAAATTTTAAAAGGCGTAGCTTTGTTTAACTGTACTACTAACGCAAACAGTACTCTCGACGTCTGGTTTGTAGACAGGTATCTATTTGACCCTCTCCTTACATCTCGCTTTACGTTGTATAAACTTAAAACCAGCGATGATATTTAATGAATATTGAATACTAACGATATCAACAACATTAATAAAAGCGACCGAAGCGGTTTCTTCTTTATTCCCTGCAAAATTTTCTGTTAAAATAGCCTTGTTTATCTAGTACCGTTGGCTTGAGATGGCTTGATTACTTTAAATCTCAGGTTAAGTAAGCACCAAAATTGGTAGTTAATTAGACAGCAATATGGTCGATGGCCGAACGACTAACTTGTTAATCTATTGGTTGACTGCTAAGCTTTTTAAACTACGCGAACATGACATATAGCAAAATAAGAACGAATGATTAATAAGATCCACAATTTATATATGAGTGGAGAATATCTTTATACCGAACCGACCAAAAGCGTCGAAACGTGTACAATATAAAAACCAACCTCATTAGACATTGACGACCTAGAACAGGTTCCATTTACAGTTCATGGCTTTGTGTAGATCATAACCTAGTATTTATCTCTTATTAAAGACGCAAATATTTATCCATGACCGTACTTGAAGATTTCATTTACATAACACGTAGGAACGCAACTAAGAAAATGGTGTCGACCTTATTTGATTTGTGAAGTATCTCTATAAAGGTTATTTTTATTTAATAGTTGTTCCATATAACAACCGCAAAAATTGATTTATTTTTCAAGCCAGTAGATCTGTAAATGATATGCATAAATTTAGTAGATTGAGTTCTTCAGATCCAGACCTTCACATGTCAAAAAATACATCTCTATTTGTTATTCTCATAGTTTTGATTTGTATATAAATAACATAGACATACTCAAGATAGCGCAGGTATAAACCTTGTTATTTTTTTTTGTTGCTATTGTTGTATTAGTCACTGTATTTATTTTTTGTAAACAATAAAAAACGAAAAAATTAAAAGCAGGCTTCAAATTTTTTTTAAGCCACCAGCGCAGTACATCTGAGTGGGGTAGTTGTTAGTGGAAATACCACATACTCTTGGCTTACATACATCGCCGTGATGGCTCCCAAAGGAGTCGAAAATCCGAAGGGATTTTCTACCCATTACCAAAAAAAGATCTGCGGCACTAGTGTGAAACCTAGACTTATACAGTGTAATGGAAACTATATGGAGAATCTTTTTCAAAGAATTACTTATACTGGACAATAACATATAAATATATATTGATTTTGACCTACTATACTACGCTGGCCAAACGGGTTGCTATAGGGTTTATGTCAAGTTTTCCTTCTCTTGGTGCTGTTATCCTGCGTAGTTAGCTCCCTTAGTCTACGACACCCACGGGATTAATAGGGGTGGTAACACTCCGTATTCTTAATCCGTCACCACACCGATATTTATACGTAGTTTTTAAATAAACAAAGCAATTGCATTTTACATTCCACGAACTATAGTAGTCAGCAAAAACAAATATCCAATAAGTGACATCATGCTTTGTAGTTAGAGCACGTACTGAAATGGCAATAAAACAAAAAGATCTAAGCGTCGCACCTGATTTACGTACATACATACACTTATGCTTTTATCGCAAAAGGGGTAGGGAGAGTCGTAATCAACACCCATAATTTATCAACTATGATTTGGTTCCACTTAAGTACTAGGGAACAAATTAGTCGTATAGCTGTCAGCCTGGCATTTTCAGAGTTAGAGGCATTCTAAAAATTCTTAAATAGAAAATTATTATTTGGAATTTATATTGGAATTATATAGAAAGCGAAAGGTAGTTAGGTAAGGGAGACACGAGAGGGAAAGGGAATTGCAATTAATACTTTTTCTTTTGAATTGGTATAAAGTAAATTCTGTGATGTGTTAACTTTTGCGAGTTGTTTTAAATTCAAGTAACTTTAGATTAATGTATAACCTCACACATATCACACATGGCCGTCTAATCTCAAACCAGGCAAAACCTGTACTATGGTAAACAGACCGCTGATAAACATACTATAAATTTATAGTATTGCCAACTCCTCCAATTTTCTTCTGATTAATTTCGTTGCGGGTTCCAAGACATTTTATGTTTTTCCTGGGATTTCCCGAGTGTCTTAACTCGGTGTGTTCATGGGTCACTGCTGCTGATCCTGGTGTACAGGTGTTACAGTAGAGGGGGTTCCCACACGGGGAGGGATTAGTCCCATAAAAAAAAAACATACTATAAATGTCTAAATACATACATATTAAAGATAAATACTAATAATAACCTGAACCATACCACACGCGGCCGTTTGATCCCAAACTAGGCAGAGCCTGTACTATAAGAACCAGACTGCTGATATCATTCTAAATACATACATCTGCGTTAACTGGCCCGTTCTATACCTCTCCCGGTCCCGCTCCGCCATCTCCTTCGCAAGCATAACTTGCTCGCAGAAGCAGTTCCACGCACTCTCGCTCCGCACGGTAGCCGCAATCAGGGTATCGAGTGAGAGAACTCCCACTCTGATGGCCGCCACGAGGTCTCGCCTCTGCTCCACCCACGCCGGGCATTCCGCCCGTGTGTGGCGCTCAATCGTTGACTCCTTGCGGATCAGACACAGGTGATCCCCGAAACAATCCCCAATCACAGTGATCACGGTATGAGAGGGTCCCGTGATGCCTCTCGAGAAAATCCTCCATAACGGGTCTTACCGCCGCGATGACTGCGTGAGTAATTGTTCAACCTGACATTAATTTTTGATCCTTATCTCACAGTTAAACTAACCAGTGTGAAATGAAAAAATACTTTTTTTCGTTACTTTTGTTAAACTGGCCACATATTTACATAAAGTTAGAAATTATAATGTAATGAATTATATGAAAGCATTTTAACCCATGAACGAAATTAAATAACTTATGCGAGTATGACGCAATGTTTTCGCACGCGTAATATTTTTTAACAATTCTAATTTTACTCATTAATATGTCTTGTATTGTTATTTATGGTCTTGAAGCTACATGTATAAAGAGATTTTATTGTTGAGGTAGTAAGGTCTGAAATAGTCTTGCACATAGATATTGTAATTAAAGACATCAACGCATTATTAGAAAATGTTAACAAAACTGTGAAGTGCATCAATTGTTCATATTTCACAGCTTTTTATTTTTTTTTGGTTATGCTATTGTTTTATTATCTTTTTAATTTTGTAAATATTTAATTTATAATGTAGGTGGTACACGATTTTTTAAACTTTTTAACCTTATGAGTTTAGATTTAAATTAAACATTGCAAAAAAGTTACTCTTGCGCATGTGAAGGCGACAGAGGTGGCAATGTGTGTCTGTTTACGATAAAACGTCCGTAATCACGTGATTATATAACGCAAAATGGACCTTATTCCCTGAAACCCAAGCTGGATATTTGCTTTTTGATTAAACAATTAAGTTGACAGTGTGAATGGAGAAGGCTCGTCAACTACCACTTGTTTGAGAAACTACCTCAGTCTGCGTCAAGCATTCGTCGTCGCCGAACGCATGCGCGAGCCCGCACCATTGGTCAATTTGAATTTCGGATTCGAACGTTCTAACCGACCGGCCAATCGCGTTCGATCGTTTGATTTCTTTTCGCGTCCAGTTTTTTTGCATATACGGTGTGTTCCGTTATCGTGACCTGTGCTTGTGACATTTGAAGACAGTGTATTAACAACGGCAGATTGTTCCACTGCAGAAGGTCGGATGTTTTCTCACGTTTTCTGGTAAGTTATTTAAGATAGCATTACTGTTAATTGTATCACTCGTCTAGTTTTTGTTGGTAACTTCTATCAGTGTTCGCACGGCTATTGCCAGTATGAATTGCGAATTTTACTTAGACCTTTTGAAATCGTTATGACTATTCATTGTCATGGTTGGAATTTTTCTATAATTACAATTCATGTATTTTTTTTCAAATTGCCTAGAAGTTTCTAAACTATGAATACTCAACGACATAAAAATGTTTACGCAAATAAGCTTAGGTGAGATCACCCGACGCAGTAAACGTGATCTTTAAATACCTACCTACAGAATTTGATGACCTCAACAAAGCCTTCGAAGATATGAATTTATTACAATTTATTTTTATATTAAAGAACTGCTGCGCAAAAGTTATTCATTAAGATTCCTCATATGCACGTCCTTCGACTTGATCTCATCTTCAATGTAAAGTTTTAAAGCTATGAGTAGCTACTAAAACGAGTTGGCTGATGTCATCTTCAAAAATGTATTGAACCTGTGTGACGGCTGCGAACCAGTTTCTGATCACCGATATGCACTACCTGTAGCTTAAAAGTTTTCTTTGATGTTTTTTTACTCTGAAGCAAGTAACGCGTTAATAATATACCTACTTTTAATTAATTTCAAAATTATTTTAACTTCCATTTCAAACATAGATACTGAATTATAATCAAACATTAATCGAAGCTTGAGATACAAAGTTATGTCTTTAAATCATTCGCTTAATTACTCGTAACTTTGGAGATTTTATTTTATTAGATATTACCTATTGGAGTAGTTTCACTTTTACAATATCATGTCTATAAAAGTAAGTTAATAAAACATTTTCCTTTTTTTTTTTGGCAAATCAAAACCAGTCGTAATATATAGAATTACAAATATAAAAGTAATAGGCAATGAGTGCTGAAACTAACTTAATGTTCCTAAATATCAATACATTTTAAAAAGTCTTAACTTATGAAGCTGTGCAAAAGCAATGGCAGACAACAAGATGTATGCATGATTTATATTTGTACTTACCAGATCTATGACATATGTATCTAATGTACAAATATGGTTTTAAAGATGTTCTAGTGAAATCACCCTTAACCAACGACTTTGCCACTTTATCTACGAGTCGCAATAAATATTCAAATAAGCTATTATCTAACAGACGATAAATTACTAGACATAGTTAAATTTGACCGGATAGCGTTACAAAGAGGATGATTATCTAGGAGGTCGACAGGTGTTCTCACTCTTTATTAGTTGTTATACTTCCCGTTAGGTACTCTGATGACTCCGCTTGCCAAGTGTGGTAATTATGGCATACTTTCCCCTCCGAGGTCCGTCTCCAATGGTATGTTGTTATTTACATTTTGTAAACAAACATTATCTGTTTCACCTACTCATTACTGGTTAGCGGCTTTAGGAAATACTTAACTGAGATTGAATTTAATAAGTAAATAATGCACAGTGAAAATGGAATACCTGAATCCACAGTTTTAAAAATAGTCATTTTTTTAATTCTTCTGTTTTATAAATTTTTCGATTTCCATTCAGGATTTTTTATCTTTATGAATAATAATATTCTACCACATTCACACAACGCCATCTAGTCTTAAACTAAGCAGAGCTTGTACTTATGGGTTCTAGAGAACTGATATATTTATACATAAAATAAACTTTTTTTTTGTGAAAACGTATATATTATACATAGAAACACCCAGACCAAATCAAACATTAAATGTTCATGCATAAAATGTTTGACTTGAGTGGGAATCGAATCCACGACCTTTGGCGTAGCAGTGCGTTACACAAACCAATACGCAATGCGGCCGTATTTATTGTTTATAAGTTGAACAATGGAGTTACATCAAAAAGCGATTAATTTTTAAAGATATTTGGTTTAACTAGAACACTAATATAAATGAAATTGCAAATTAACAATAATAATAATTATGAACCTCATACAACTCACACACGGCCGTCTTAAGAGGCTTAGTTTAAGATCGGACGGTCAACTATGGTAACCAGACTGCTGATAAACATACTTATATATTTCTAAATACATACATATTATAGATAAACTACACCCAGACACAGAACAAATGATCAAGCTTATCGGAGAATTATGTGTCCTGGTTAAGAATCGAACCCATCACTTCTCGCTTAGCAGCTAGAGTAGATGCCATCTTTTGTGTGTCTAAACTAAAGAAATAGCGCATAATATCTATACTTATGAGTATATTATAAGTGTTAAAATGATTTTGTTTGTTTGTTACGCCTTCACGCCTTAATCACTAAACCGATTTTGCAATTCTTTCACCAATGGAAAGCAACAATATCAGCGAGTAACATAGGCTACTTTTTGACCGACATACATAGGCGGAGCTGGGGCCAAAAACTAGTATATTATATTTACAGCTTTTGTCCACGGCTACGCCGATAATGTTTGTTATCGTAGTAAAAAGCAGGTTTTGCATCAAACAATCAAAGTATCTTCATACCAAAATTCACCTAAATCGGTTCAGCAATTATTGATTCCCGATACAAACTTTCACCCTCCCTTTTCACCCCCTTAAAGGATGTTTTCTGGGATAAAAACTACTCTTTGGCCTTACCCGGGACTCGGACGATTTATGTACCAAATTTCATCTAAATCTGTTTAGCGGTTTAATCGTGAAAATTTTTTAACATCTTCCGCTTTTCTGCAAAACACTTCTTGTCCCAGATCATTCAGTGTTTAATTTATCGTTATTTATTTTATACATAATATCACATCATCAACAGCCTTTAATAGTTCACTACAAGGACATAGGCCTCTCCTTAGAAAGGAGGCTTTGGCCTACTATACCACGCTGGCCAGACGGGTTGGTATAGGGTTTGTGTCAAGTTTTCCTTCTTTTTGCAGTGCTGGTGTCCTGCGTTGTTTTGCGCCGGGATGAATTGGGATAGTGACATTCCGTATTCTTAATCCGTCACTACACGGACAACTTAATACATATATTTTATCATAAATTTTTCAATTTGTGGTTGTTAACTTTATATTTAATAATATTAATAATATTGACTATGTAGCAAACGTCTACCAAAAAGCGAAAGGAACTTGGTTCTAACCGGGGGTCCATAGAACCCTCACACCCTTTTTATTTACTAACAGACTACTAACTACTAACTTTCTTTTTATATTAATTAGTTTGAAAGGAAATTCTCCGATTTTATTGTTCGTTATTTATTTATATCAAGTGTGCCTTGAGGGCTCCATACGCAAGCAGTAACTCAGTTCTCTGATTAAGCTTGTTATTTCATAGATAGCTATTAAATAAACCTGCAGAGTTATTCAAAATGAATCAAACGGTCGGCAAGGAGTGAAGTTTATTCATATTAATGAGTTATTTTACAAAAAAATCTCTTTTTGTAATTTTTTTGTAAAAGTTTTTTTGTAAAAGTGTTCGAGATTCGAATAGTATTCATTTACTTTGATAATATTTCAACTGTAAAACATTTGACTATTTTTCTGAAGCCGTCACGAGTTTTGTTCACAATGTTCATAATATTTTTAATACTATTCTTACTTTTTGAATTTGTTGTCATAAAATGTAATCATAAATTTTTTAAATCTTAAATTTTATTAGACTATACTACAAATACAGTCTCTCAAGTCTTAATAAGTAAAGACATTTTGTCTTCAAATAAATAAAATTGAAGTGTCTGTTTGTAATGTCAAAAAAAATATGTTTTTTTCATGCTCACATGGTTAGTTTCACGACACCTATGCCTAAAAACCAGTTTAATTTTTTTGTCTGTCTGCATTTCTATTATTTGTTTCGGGTAATCTTCTAAACGGCTCAGCCAATTTTGATAATATTTTACTACAAGTTAGCTGTCTATATAAGGAGTAACTTAGGCTATTTTTCCCCTCAGAAAAACCCTATAAAATTTTTCCCGGTGCGTGAATCGAACTCCCTAAGACAGCGCTATTCAAATTCCACACGAACAATGTCGCGGGTATCAGCTAGTATTAAATACAAGTTATTGATCAACAAAATGTCTTTAGAAGCTATTAGAAGCTCTAAGCACTAGACGCTTTGTAAATTTAATCGTTCCCAGTATCTATGGACAATATTAGGTACAAACGGTTAGTGCTCTAATGCAATTTTGCAATGTATCAGCCATACCGTTATTAGAACGTTTCTTAGAACCGCATCTTGAACAAAAGCTAATGGATATTTTGATCTCTTAAAATAGCTGATATCCTATAGATATAGCTCAACTCATTTATTGCTGTGTTATATATTTTATATTGTAGTGTTTAAATGTAGTGCACTTTAAAGGAAAATCTAATTGCTTATATCTAATTCATGTGTCTAGAAAGATTACTTCATTAAGTTACGTTTACTTTACTTAATCAAATATTTAACGAACTGATTAATATAAAGCACAATACCTACTGATTTATACGATAAGAACACATTACTATTCTTAATTATTTGAACTGAGTTTCAAAGGTAAACAATATTTCCAAAATATCATTAAATATATAGAAGTAATATATTACATTAGCACATATTGCGCAGAATCCAAATAACGAAACAAATATCTAATTGAGACAAAAAACTAGAAACAAATAATTCAATTAATTGTGGTATAATTCTTATTCATGTGATTTCAATGTATTTTTTTTTCATTCTTCTGTAGCCGATCGTAATTATGTATATGCTCATATACAATAAAAACATTGACGTGACTTGAACACGTCTTAACAAGCATTACAAAAACAATGCGTACAGTCACGGCTAATATTTTGAGACTACTAGTATGAGCTAGATTGAACAAAAGTACTTAACAGCCAGGACTTGGATTTATAATTAGATTCAATGTTATCTATTCAG